CAGCTGTTCTAAACTTCCTCATTGGAAGTCACGAAAAAGCGGTGGGTTTTTTCGAGAAGTTGTTGGTCATGTAATTACCATAGAGCGTCTTTTTGTGTTATTGAAGCGTTTGGCCTAGTAGATTGTATATCAGTATACCCTTCCAGGCTCTGAAGAAGGCGATACTGCCGAAACGTCAGCTAGCGTTGTATTGTATTGTGTTTTTTATGGAAGTAAATGTATGCTGTTTAAAAACCTCGCGATTGCTGAACAAGAAAACGACGCATTCATATTCCAATGCCGAGGTTAAGAGAAAGTCGATCCTGGGAACTAAAAACAGTGCGTTAAAGTTTCTAAAAAATGGAAATCGTAGTTGCCTTCCAGAAAAGTTAGGAGCACTTTTGATACTCCTGTATCCACACATGTCCGCTTTTACTGAACTGAACTGAGCTTTCTTACCTTTCAAATATCTACTTAGACAGGAAAACGGCTCAAATCGATCGGATGAATGGATTTGAAAGGCCGTTTCATTCTTCGAAGGAACTAAAGACGTTTGACCAAATCGAAGGATTTGCAAACGTTTGTCCATCGATCCATTTATAGTTGATCGGCTCGATTTTCGGGGGTCATATGGGCGATCATTTTGGAAGGAAGACAATGTTCTTCATTGGACAACTTTTCATTATTATCACATCTATCATGTCGACGGCGTCACGAAATTGGATCGCCTACGCGTTCATTCAGGGAATGAACTGCTTCCTCTACGGAGTCATCGAGGTGAACCGACATTTCAGAGCTTAAGACATTTTTCTCCTTCTACCTTATTTGGATTATTTTTTTTCAAAACACTTTCTTTCAAGCTGTACCACTTTCACCAGGGTTATAATCAAAATTATTCTGAGACAACAAGAACAAATGTAATTCTTTTCAGGTGACATCACTAACAATGATGATGGAGTATACGAACAATAAGTACGTGTTTTTGAGTAGCAAAAGAGCAATTGCTTTCTTGAAAACTATGGGCGGAGAGCGAAAAAAGAAAACTAACTATTGAATAAAAGTAGTGCATGGCGTGGAGGAGGATGCTCCTAAGAGTTCCTGGAAATGCTGAAAACAGCACCCTTCATCCTCGTAGCACGCCTAAGGTGGAGCCCTATATCCCCATTTTAAAGCTTTGCTGGGAGCAAACCTACGTTTTTTCCTCTGTAACCACAGAACCTAGCGATATACGAACTGCTGCTACTAGCTAAAAGGACATTGTTCGAAAAATTCGATGCTATTCATACGATTTGGGCGAAGTTGATTGAGTAGCTTGGCAAACAAAGGTAGCTGATACGCTCAGAAGTTATTCGATTGCTAACGGGGTTAGAGGTGGTACAGATGCTGTAAATGATAAAGGATAAAGCGTTCGATGTTGAATTTTAAGTAAGCGTCATACAACCGATTCTGTTCAGCCTCACAGAGGTGATAGAATGCGTAGCGATCTACGGTACACGGTCACTTTAAGTGACTTACCACTGTGCCATACCAGTTTTTCTTCTTCTGGACACAACTCTGGTACCAATTTGCTGACCTTTGCAAGCATGATGTGCTTGATCAATCCAGCCCACTGGGTAAAATAAAAGATTATGTGGGTATTTCAGGGCCTCATCAAGCACTACGTTATTTGACACATGATATGAGTAACAAAAATACAGAGGATAGCCACTTTATTCTGAACATTCGTGCAACTGTCAAGCTTCATCACGTAACAGCATGGGCAGAATCGGAAACTCCATTTTTTGTGAAAAATGGCGAATAATGAGCAAAGTAGCCTTGGCTTTGAAAAAAAAAATGCTATTAGAGGCTTTTTGTTTCGCGAAGAAACTCTCAATGGAAGCTTTCAGATATCGCATTGTGATGGCATCCGCATTTCAATGGCCAATTGCCTATATTGTTATATCATTCATTGCCTTTCTTACCAAGGTAAATCGACCATCGTTTTGAAAGCTTTTTTCGCAATAGAACTTGTCATGAAGGTAACAGCGGCTTTTTCACCAGCATGTGAGGCCCAGCGAGGTCATTCAATGCTTCACCCATTTCCCAATTCCTAAAACACTTCGACTTCCCACTACAACTTTAAGCCACGCTAAAACCAGCAAGAAATAACTGCCATAGAAAAAACCTTTTTAAGAAATAAAGGCCCGTAGTAGTTTTTAAAAAATGCATGAGCAGAATAATGGAATTCGATCTGTTATGTCGTCCTCAATCTTATTTCTAACCAATTACATGAATTCATATCGCTACAAGAGCCACTGTGCTCCTGGGAAATCGTTAGCGAGGCAACAAACCTAAAACGTTTGGCAACTGAGTGAGGTAAACACTTGGGCGGTCATAATTGCTATCCAGAGATCCCATGGAATCCAGTTTTACCAGCATTCAAAATATCTATAGATCAAGGCTAGGAAACTACATGACAGATAATGATGAATCCACGCATTATCCAAGTCTGCTGAAATTTGCACGACTCGTGAGGAAGGGCTATCGAAATATCTAAGTATTCTGGGTGAAATATTGAATGATCTATTGATGCCACAGTTGCCGCGTACTTGTTGTTTCGTCGATGGCAGTGATTTCGTTGTTGATCCCGCTGTGCAATGTTCCTCAGGAAATATATGGGTCAGGATTCCGCTGATCTATATCCGCCGATAAAAATTCTCAGGCTAATACAAGACACACTGTAAGCAATACTGGAAGAAATCGAAAGAGATGTAATCAGTTTAGGGCTGGCAGAATTTCTTCGTATTTTTGAATTTGGTATCGTCACCGCTTACTATTGGTTTCATGTTATTCCATGAATCACCACGATGGTTGATCGCTACTGGAAAACTTGACATGGCCTGCAGTGTGAGTTTAAGCTGTCATAAGAAAACACAACAGAAGACCTCAATGGTGATATTTTTGAGCGCTTTTCTTCTGACTGTTTTTTTTTCTTCGTTTAAGGTTCTTAATGATATCGCACATCAGCGTTGGAATAACACCAAGGCGCGCTTCACCACCACCGACATCTCATTTATTCACAAAAATGATAAGAAACGCTGCTATACGTTTTATCACCTGTTCAGGTTACTGTTTTTCTATTTTAGAAATGTTATCCATTTATATCCCTAATCCCACTAAACCAAACTCTGAAAGATTTATGGGCATTTTGTGTTACGAATAACTGACACGTTAAAAGAATGGCAACAGATTGGCTTCAATGGCTTCAATAGGTAGAACAACTGAAGAAATATTACGAAAACTGATGCAGAAACCTTTATAAAGGTGTTGACTTCTGATATAATGTCAACTATTTCCATTCTCAGGAAAGGTTAAACGAAGGACTTGTATGGTGTGATGCTGAAAGCGTTAGCTTTCGGGAAGGGTAAGAGAGTGTTCGGTTCCCATCGTAGATGCCTGCCGTCCAGAGTTTTGAAATATCTCAGCATCATTGTGGTTTATTTCCACTCTATTTGCCCCATTAGAACGCCATTATATCGATGACAACTTAATTCTAACGTAAATCTCCAGAAAAAACAGTATTCAGGATCTCCACCAGGTTTTCATATAGATGAATATTAACGAATTTCAGTTCACCTCGTCTTGCCAAGCAATCATTAATGCAGATTTTATCAATGTTCACCTACGCTTTGGTCACCAATACGTATTTGTGCACAGTAGGACGAGTGCACGGTGAGATGTTGTGTAAAAAAAACTTTCAGTAGCACCATAACTAACCTTTTCTTTAAAAGTAGTTTCGCTCACATTATAGGAGTGCCAGTTTTTTTTGTTTTTTTGTATGACACTCTTTCCGATCAGTTACTTGTATGAAGGCCATTGTGAAGCTGCCGGAGTGGTCGATATGAACTCCACAGATTTCACTTTCTTTCCGGTGGTTTGTTTTAGCACGTAGAAACTGTCCTAGAAAACTTTTTGTATTCAACCTTTAGCATGTAGGTCACAGATGATTTGTTGTATGTTGATGGAAAAATTTTTATTCTGCACTTAGAACTATGCAAAAATCTTTTGCCCGAAGGGTGTATTGACCAGAAATTTTGGTGCTAAGCGACGACTATTTTATTTCCGGCTGCTACGTTTAGTTTTTATTTTCTGTCCATTCCTCTTTTCTACGACAGAGTGCTATGTGGGATACAACTAAAAAGTCCTCAGATATGAGGGAAAGTAGAACCTCAAATGGACTTCGAACTGGCGATTGTTCTTTCCGAGGGCTCACATGTTGTCCAGAACACCAACGCAGGTCTTTGCTTCATCGTTCTCTCAGCCAGTTCTTTTACTGCAATGGTACTGTCAGAAATAACCCGTGAACGGTAATGATCTGTGCAGCACGAATTGGCAGTTAACCAAGCTAAGCTGAAGCTGCAGTCGAAATCACAATGTTCAACTTTTATTCACTGCCCATTTTTTCTTGGTTGGTATAGTCGGTAGCCCGTGAGTGCTCAAAAAGTGCTAGGTTGAAAGCCCAAGTGAGTTATCGCATAGTGTGTTGCTAAGCACTTCCAAATGTTGACAGCGGTGTTTTGTACAATGGATCGTAGTAACATGCAGTGAATAGCAGTACACATATCATTTTATACCAACCGAATGTTAGAGCAAATTATCTTCTAAAATCGTGATATGTTCACAAATCATGATGCCCTATAGTTATCGAAAAATTATTGTTTATTGTCGAAGAACCAGGAAATCGGTTAAAGCTGAAAATTAGGCGTCGTCGCAAGAATGCTAATGATAAATGATAAGTGATATTATCGTGACACAAGGTTGGTATCGCAGCGGTAGTACCGCCGTTCATCACGAGCACGGTGCTGGTCCGACTGCTCTCCAGGTACACAAAGGCTTCATTTTCTTCGGGTTCGAGAACCCCAGTGGAAACAATCTAGCTCAGCTGTCTTGAAGATTGCAGGAAGAATCGACTTGACGGACATTCGACGACATTCACAAAGAAGACGATAAGCTTCTAACATCGGTTGGATCCACAAGCGAAAAGCTCGAAGACCTCTGCAGATGATGGATGCGAGGAAACGAATGGAATTCAACAGCTGTTAGGATCCAGATAGTAGATATGAAGAAGGATCGTGTGAAATTAAAAAAAATAACGGGCACTAACTCTGCTTTCTTGGATCACCATTCGGTGCCTAATTCTTGGAGAAGCGGTGCTGTAAGTAGGGAGATCTGGGCTACGTTGCGATATATTTGCTTTTTTTTATCACTTTCATACTTTTACAGACTCTGCTATCATGTTCATCTTTCTTGACGGTATCTTTCGTCTCTTCACGCCATTTATCATAATCTTTCTCGACCTTTATATACCTAGATTTGGACGAAAAATTCAATTTATCGGTGCTCTTGGTAAGATTGGATCTGTTTTTCTATTTTTTACTTCATAGCGTACTTGTTTAAATTTTCAGTAATCGAAGCTGTACTCTTCGGCATTATCATTCTGTTAATTTCGAGTGGATACGACTACAGTCATATCTGTAGGTTTTCATAAAATATTACAAATATAACAATAGCACTAGGCTTTACCATCGGGAACAAATGATTGCTGGGGTTGTCTTCTCTGATGTGCCGAAAAATGTACAGGATGTTATTTTTTAAATTTGTGGAGACTTTATTCGCATCTTCTGTGATCATTCCAACCATTACATTTTGTTCGCTGAACAGTGCTTTCAACGATGCTCAAATCCAAATCAAAAGAAGTCAACTTCTGGAAAGAGGAAACCTCCACGTTGTTCTGCATTTCTCTTCCTATCTTTTTCCTTCGATTTGTAATGGTTAGATAACCAGACAAGTATAGTGAACTTCTCGTTACAAGAACATTGAACTCTACATTGCTAAACTGCTAAATGCCCGATTGTTTTGATCGTATTTTACAATTTTTCAATCTATAGACGTTACGATCCCGGTGATCATCTCCATAATGATTAACGACTGTGTGTTCTGGATTAATATCGTTCAAATCACTACGCAGCGTTATCCTACTGTAATTCGTTCGATCGCATTCGGATCGCTACATTCGATCAAGTCCGTGGTTGCGCACATTTCTCAATTATCTTCACCCATTCGTGTACTCTCCCTGAATAAGCGCATTCTAACTTAATGTTTTAAGGCACATCGGTTCGATTGCCGCTATTCTTGTTGTGACACCGTTACTGTCATCATGGACATTGGGAGCTTTCGTTATTCCGGAGATTTTCGTCATTATCACCATCGTCATCGGTTTATTTCTACAACCAGAAACTAAAGGAAAAGCCCTTATGGATCAAATAGTTGAAGCGAATTATGGACGACTTGAGAATGAGTTGCCTAGAGCGCTGATTAGGTAAAATAGTACTATGAGAATGTATAACTTTTTATTTACTGTCTATTTACCTTTCTCTCAGCTTTCTCTTACCCTAACGGATGGGCCCAATGCCGATCTGTCTTCCTCAGATCATTCCCGTTAAAGAGTGATTGCTGATGGCATCATTAGGGTAATATAGTGGTTGCGGTTGAGAGAGAAGAAAAGCAAGTGCCTCGGTAACGGAGTGGGCAACACGTGAGTTCTAGAAAAGGTACTCCTGGGTTCGAATCCAGACTGAGATCTGCATTTTGCAAATGTCTCAGTACTGTGGAATTCTACTGGACTTGATAAATAGCACTATTTTATTTTATTTATTCACTGGGAAAGCTTACTCTCCTATCTTTGCATTTACATCTCCTTTGCTTACGCTGAAACAAACATTGAAGTGTGGTTTAGTTATTGGTGCTTTCTTTTTGCTTAGAGGACTTTTTAAATGGATTTGAAACCAACGAAAAGCCAAATCTTTCCAGAAGATTCGGAAGAATCTCTATTTGATGAAAAGAAATTTCGTACTCGTTTTGAGGTCAAATTCTAAAACTAATCTTCATATTCAAAAGCAGTGTTTTTTACCAATGTCGAAAGAATTCCTCGCTATTTCATTGCTTCATTATTAAATTTGACACGTAAACTCTTTCTTTAATAAAATTCATTCCACCACTTTCCAGTTGTTCCAGGAATTCCATTTTTTCAAAATTTTTCCTTAATTACTAGTAGGAACCAGTGTTCCCAGGCACTGCATAAACTTTGCAAGCAGTTGAGCTTTTCACGACAGGTTTTTCTCCTCAGTAGACATTTATTGCCGAGCTTTTTACTTGACGACTCATACAACTTGAAGAAAGACTCTATAATAAAATTTCTAAAGTTTTTAGAAAATTTAATTCGAGATTTTCATTTTTTTACGATTAAGGACATAAAAAAGAAATCAAAGTAGTTGTACACTTACAGATTTCCTTTTTTTTTTCAGATTAGCAGCTGGTCATAAGGTGGCACAAATGGAGTTACGTGAGAAGTACCGAAGAGAACTGGAAGCCGTTCAGTCTGCAAACCGTGCCGGACATGAAATTGACAGCCCATGGATTTTTAGGGTTTGGTTTCTCTAAGGAATTTTGCCTTAACCAGACATTAGGCGATATAGCAATACTTCCTTAGCGTTACCTACTCACTTGATACTAGAATGGTCCGTCCTCACTGGTTGTGCGTGTCCTAGTATGGTCCCCATTTTTTGAAGAATTACTGGTTAAACCATTGTGGTTCCCCGGAATCCCGAGGTCAGCCAGGCCAAAGTCTGCCCCAGGTCGTCACCACAGCACGCAGCCGCCGTCCTTCTGAATCCGACGGAGATTTGCCACCACGCGCACTAGTTTGATACCAAAACGATGGTTGGTCCTGGTATTGGTTTACTCTTAGCTAGGCTTTTTGATGGAACCTTCTCAGCTTGAAAGACCTTGCCGGGAAGACGAATCCCCCTGTTGTACATCGCAGTCCGACACCCAGGAGCACCTCCAAGCCACGATGAACCGTTGGGAGAATTTTCCTAACATTACCGTCGAATATTTTAATAACCCCTAATAACTACTTACCCGTTCACACCCAAGAGTTTTAAAATTCTCAAGTGCCAATTTCACAGATAAATGCGAAATCATGTCTTTTACAAGGAAAAAAGTGAGAAAAACAACTCAAAATTTGGACCATACCGTCTTTTGATAACAGAATGTTTAAGTACGCTCTAATTATACGACATGAGGCAAATACTTTTATCAGTGCCTGTACAAAAAGAATTCAAGGACCTCATGAACGTACTTTAAATCGATAAAGTGGAAAAACTTTTCTACAAAGCTTTTATCCGACTCGAATCACTCCTGCTCTGAAGGCGAAAGAGCCGAATAAAAGCTCCAAAGCAACCTTCTATTAGCCTACCAATAAAACAATACATTGATTTGTCATAGTGAATTTAAATTAATGTCGGTTCACAAAACAATTAGATGTTTTCTAAAGGGCATGACGTCACCAAAACAGACATTTGACGAAAGCGATCGTTCAGCTTACAACTACCACCGAGCTCGGGTATCAGGCGGAGTTCAACTGTAGGCGAATTTAAAAATTCTCACATATGAATAGAGGCTTTTGATAAGTTAGCTTAATGCACAGAGTTCCTAGGAATCATTTCAACAACAATGCTTTCGTTGAAGATGACGATTGCGCTGAACTTGATCTCGACAGGACTCCGGCAACTACAACCACCTGGAAAACGTAGACGAGGGCTAAGATAACATATTTTATGTAAATATTTAGTTAGAACGAAGAAATGTGTCGATTGGTCATATTTGTTATCATCCATCCATAAATGGATAAAAAAATAGGCTTTTGACGAAAAATTCATTGTACTTCTCTATGTAGCGATAACATTCCGAAAGGATCCACAACAGTTTCAGGCAATTGATTGAAATGTCAGTTTAGTTTGAAAGTACTCCACTAATTGTTAGAACAAAACACGTTGGACGACCATATGCAGTTGTAGACGCTTGATCGGCGAAATGCTCATAGGGAACGATCCCGCAACACTGATGAGAAGAGAACGACGATGAAGGAATATTACCTCCACTTTTACACTTTTATGACATTTCCTTTGCTCTAGTGATTATCAAAATTTATAGCGTACTCGCTTGTTAACTTAGCACATTACAGACAACGTAAATAGGCGATGATACATCACCACTTAACTTACCCGGTCTTTTAAAAGTTGACTTCCGTTGTTGTTTCCTCATCTAGACCTAGCCCATTGGTTATAACGCCTTATTTTCGGTGCCATATGCATGTGACCACGATCAATTTCATGCCGTTACGGAAGTGCTGAACCACCTACAACAGATAATAATTCCTCAGCAGCTGCTCCCAGACATGAGCCGTTGACAACATGGTGGAGTAGCATAACAATTTTCCCTTCATCGCTTTACGGGAAAGCATGATTTGTTTACTAATATTTGCTATTTACTGCAAAGCGCGCATATAACAGAGTAGCTAGAGGTGCCCCTGCAATAAACACTTTGTAATTGTTTTTTTGTTCCTTGTAGCTGTGATTGGTTCCAACACTGGCTAAGCTTTCATCAAGCCCTCTATCCATCCAGGGTGGAGAAATTCTTTTTCTGGAACGATAGCAGCACTGACTCGATACATCGGTAGGCCATCGCAAGTTATTGTATAGGTCAGATATGCATCAAGTCACTCCTAACGATTCTTGATGAAGTCGAATGAATGACGTGTCCCAACGCCGAGAGCTTTATCCTTATTTTATTACGGTCCATATTTCAACCATATTGCTGTCAGAACCTAGAATTGTTTTGTGGCTTCGGTTAAACCCATTTCTCAACTTTTTCACCCACCCATTCTATACTACAACTATGATTCATTAGAGAGGCTGGAAAGGAATAATAATCGACTACTAGACAAATTACCGGTTATTGAAATTGCTCTAAAAACCGTTTCCTATTCCTTCATTTTCTAAGAGCAGTACAGAGCTCTTCCTGGCCGACTGCCGACCAGCACAACATCATTGCTTGCTAAGGATTGGAATGACTACAAAAATTGCAGAAAAAAAGCTCTATTCGAATAAATAAACGGCTGGAAGGAAAGTGATGCATAAATGACCCAGCTCATCAGCAAGAAGGAATTTGTTAAAGAAAATGAACCGATTACCCATAGTGTCAGTACATAAGACAATATAAATCGTATATACGGATAAGATTGCAAACAAAACAAAGAGAAAACAAAGAGAATTATACCATATTGATCGGACCAGTCAATAACTTAGTTCTCTTCAGTGTGTTGAAAAACTGTTGATGCCAGCAGTTGCTGCCGGCTAAAGGGTAGATCTACTGTATTTTTTGGTGACTAATATTTTATAGTCAGGTTTTTTTTTCCTTATTGAATAAAAGTGCTGGCGAAGACATTTACTGGTTTTCCTTAAAAGCACTCGGTAATCCGCAAAAAACCTCCTGTGACGCAGTTGACGATATAATGGTTTAATTTACCATTTATAAAACATGGTAAAAAGGGTAGAGTAGTAGATAGTGATGCCATCTATTGAGAGGCAAGGCTCTAGTTCGATACCCTACTCAACGTTTTACGCCAACCCATGATGGGAACGACTGAGCCCGGCGATCATCCAGATGGCAAAGAACATCGACTAAACTAGAGTTTTCCAACATTTGTAAAAGAATCGTAGTCGTCAACGAGCAGCCGAAGCAACAAAGGAAGGAAAACGAACCGTATGGCAAAAGTACTACGTTTCGAGCAGTGTGTGTGATGATAGGTGATGTAAGAAAAACTTACTGTGGTGAAATGACGTCGCTACGAAGCTTCTACATTAAGCAAACTATGCTCTTAGTTTGAATCTAGATAAAGTCGTCAAGCTATAAGTGCAACAAAATAGGACCTTTCAGAGGATATAAAAGAAGCGAGCGAAACCTAATGGAAACGCTGCTCTATCACTGTAAAACGATCTTTGTTAAACATCGGTTTCAACGCCCGATGTTCCGTATTTCACCGATTAACTAACACGAGGTTGTTAGAAAAGGATAAAGCTCTCGGCATTTGTCAATCTCTGAGAAAAGCGTCGTACATACGACTTCATTAAGCATCGTTGGAGGTGATTCTATGCATATTAGGCCTTCACAACGACTCGCGGAAGCTTACCAAAGTATCGCACTAGTGCTGTTATCCCCCAAACAAGTTTGGTACCAATTTGCAGACCTCGGACAGTAGAAGGCTTGGTGAGCCTGGGTTGCGGCGATCAACACCGTGTGTATTGCAGGGCTCCTCCGAAGACTACTGTGCTACACGAGCCCCTTAAGAAGTTGCTATCGAACTTTCATTCGGATAGCGTTTTCACGCCTTCGTTTTTCTCAGAGCGGATGATCCGAATCGATGTCCGTAGTCCTTCGTACACTTGATGTAGTGTCTTTGTCGTCGTATCGAGTCCGATCTTCCTCAATGGAGCATCGCTGAAATGAGGCAATCTCACTCTGCGATGATTTTTGTGGAGGATGGTCGTTGCTGGTATGTTTGTTTTGTGACAAGACCCGACTCAACTATGAAGACACCATATCGAGAGCACCACGGACTGCAGACATCGACTCCGATCACCGGCTTTGAGGAAGACGAAAACATCGAAACATTAGTCGAATAAAAGTTTGGTAATAACCTCGTGTTCGTTTATCAACGAAGTAGGGTAAAGAAACGTTCTTGTTAAGAAAAGTGAGCATGCGCTATCAACATGAGACCACCGCTCAACGATGGGTGGTTAAAAACTATTGAATAAAATGAGATTTTCCACTTCAAAGAAAAGAACCTGTCCATTAGAAAACCTCTGCTTACACTGACTCCTGGCGTTAGTGCAGAAATAAGTTTCACTCCAACATAACCAAAATGGTGCGAAAATCGATATTGTGCTCGGTGGTAAAAGAGAGATCTCATAAACCTCGGAATGAAGCCTGAGAAGCACCACTGCAAAGATGTCTCAAAAAGTGCACGAGTTAACGACTGTGCAGTACGCACTTCTTTTACCGTCCCTGCTATTACAATATGGAGTACAAAAGTTGGCACTTCTGGAATGACCACGAATACATTAATGCTGTGGTTGGCGAATGAATGGTCGCAAGCTAGAAATGGAACATATATAGCAATTTCTGGATACAAGTCAGAGTAATGCTCAAACATGCTGGTGCACACTTCGCCAAAAGTGGATCGTCCTGATCCCGTATTGATTCTACACTTCTCCGACCCCCTTCCGTTTCCAAAAAAGTCGCCAGATTCTTGAGTGTAATGGGTCCCGAAGAAATACTCACAGTCCAAAAAATGCAGGATAATGCGAGGTAAAGCAAGAATATGTGCGAAAGACTAGCGTATTACCGCTGAGTCGCATCGGTCATGAAGGGCGAATAAGTTAATTCACCATGTATTTCAAAAGCACATTTGTGATTTAATGACGTATCATTTCAAGTGAAACTGTCTTCCCAGGCAACTCTTGCCCAAATTCGGGTACTCCAGAAAAATGAAGAGATTGGCGGCCAGTCGACGCAGGGTCGAACCAGAGACTACGTGTGTATGTGAGACCACTCCTGACCGCGACGTCATGCACATCCCTCTACATATTTCCTATATAAGTTCAATACTGTCTCGTCTACACTATCATCACCTAACGCATTTCGAAATCACTTTTCTTGCAACTCTCGCTTTAATAACCTCTACATTGACTTGTTGTGGCGCAGTGGTTGAAGGCGAAACTGCGACACAAACGTGGAATCGATCTTTGAACCTATGGCCCTCCAAACCCTCTATCTCTCCAGAGTCGACAAATTGGTACCAGACTTGTCTGGGAGGGTAGCAGCACTGGTTCGATACATCGGTAGGCCACTGCGAGTCACTGTAAAGACCAGATATGCATTCAATTGCTCCCAACGATACTTAATGAAGCTGAATGCATGGCGCATCCCTCAGGGATTGATCAACGCCGAGAACTTTTTTTTTTACTTAACCAACCGGTTAATGGTTCGAGAATAACATCTGGGGTATCATGACTGAACGCCTAGTAGGTCAGAATCCCTCCTAGTCGAGGTAACGATAACTTTGTTTGTTGGTGTCAGGAGGCAACCGTATCTCATGACGCAACATGAGAGTTTATGCCCTAGTATACAGCATTGTCGGTATGGATAATTCTTGCTGGTTGCCAAAGCTAAATCACTTTGGTTCAATGTCGGAGTCCAAGCCCACATATGTGTGCATGTACACTGGTTAAAGTGTTGTATCCACAGAGCAGTGTTTGTATACTGCTATCTGTTGAGAACTCGCTCAAAGTTAAAACATCAAACTTCGACTTCGGTCAAAACGGCGTGGCGTATTGGGTTACCACAATCGTGTATGCACAACTTTATTCTCCTGAACGTCGTCATGCTTGGATTTTCGTATCGTCACCAGACCATTCTTCAGCTTCTGTTGCACACAACCGTGCAGTACTCGGGTTCAGTACACAGAATCCAGAACACCGGTCATCAGGACTTTTTAACAGATCACGAAATCTTTACTGATGGTGGCATAAAAAGTTTTCCTTTAGGCCGTCTCTACACAAGTCCCTCTTCAAATCCCTTCAATATATAGAGCTATTCAAAACCCGGGGAAGTTTTTATAGTCGTATTTATGTTGACAAAAACCTTCATACTCCGGAAACCGAAAAGTAGACATACTCCTACATTATCTGCTTTTCATAAAGTTCACAAGCTAAAAGTACACGTGTGTTGTGTGCACATTCCAAACGACAATGCCTACACGATAAAAAGACAAAAGGAATGCTGAACTACGAGTTGACATTGGTAAGAGATAATTAAAGATAGTTGGCTTCGTTAAAACTTACAAAAAACATATTCAACTCTCGTCTGTTGGGTTAACAAAAAGGTAGGAGTTACCACATTGGTACAGGAAGCGAACACATTGGCATGTTAGTATGAGATGAAGCCGTGAAAAAAATAAACACCGTTTCAACAATATCTATACCAAGAAGTTGAATACATTTCAGCAAACAGAGCTCTATTTGATAAGAATAATAAAATACAAAACCAACTAGCCTAAATGAAAGAAAGGAAAGGATCACATTACCGTCTTATTCATTGTCGCTCCATGAATCTTTGCAGCTTCCTCCTTCATTGTGACTTTCAAAACTCATATCATTGCAAATCTTCAGTACCAGCTCTTCCATTAAAGAAACAATTTCAAAAGTGTTCTCAGGCGATATGACCTCTTCTTCATCGCTCCACCAGTGCGGGTCTCTTTCATGGACCAATATAGCATCCTTTTGCGCAGTATGGTCTGCCGATACGGACTCATATTCTTCATCATCGCTTCTTAACACAGCAAAATGATTGAATTGAGGTAAAGGAGTAGGGCGAGTAACTTGTGGAGGAACTCGTTTCTTAACGGGACGATTGCCACGAAGGGTCTTCATAGACGAGCCACTGTGAGATTCTTCCCTAATTTTCTCATGTGTTTCATCTATTTTGACTGCATCGTTGATGTTCCTGTAAGTACAGCTTTTGTTTCTCACTTTGAAATAACCATAATTATAAGTGAAAATGACTTGCCCTCTGAGAGTGATTGAACCGCGCGAATTAAGAACGCTAGGATGCTTTTGTAAAGACGTAAGCAGAACCAAAGGAGCACGACTGATGCCTCTGAAAAATGTCACCACATAGAATATTGGAGAATAGTGTTTATATTCCCGAGCAAAAATTCTTGGTCAGCTTGTAAACAATACTACAAATGGTTTTGACTAAGTATGAACGCTTACCTACTGTTACTACTACCAATACAACGGAATGGATGAAGCACAACCTTTTTGCCGTTATTATGACGCTACGCTTTGGAGGATTGTCTACACTAATAGATTGGAACAAGAATAATTCAGCGTATTCGTGAATAAATCGCCTCTTTTCAACAGACATCGGCGGAAAATTGTGGTTCAACGAAGTCCCAAGATAAGTTGGCTGAAACGAAAACATGCCAACGTGCGAAGCATTAAATATGAATGCTATTAGCTTCACAGCGTAAAAAGCTTGAACTTACAGCTCCAAGCTTTTCGAGAAGCTCCAAAAATGTACGTTCCACCTCAATAACAAACGAAGCGTTCGAACGTAATTCGGCCTCAAATTGCAGTAAAATTTTAGAAGAGTTCTCTTAAAAATATTGGAAGAACTCACTCAATAAATTATGACTCTAGCAAGATAGGAAATTCGATATGCCCTTCCAGGATTATAGGTGAAATTAGATATATGATATAGTAGACCCCAATGAAGTTCCAATGCCACCTTCTTGATGAAGACAACAACAGTGAGTGATTTCACATGAGAAGTACGAAGAACTAAGATCACGTTAGGTAGCTCTAATATGCAAGAGAGACGAATAGAAATGTTATTGGCGCCCAGGTTACTCCACCTTTAGCGACTCCACAGGTGATACAAGCGAAAGGGAAGAAACTGGGAAAAATTTCAAACAGTTTCACAAAGGAATTTACAAAAAAAAAACCCAACAAGATAACTTTCTGAGCTAGCCCTAATATTGATTAAAACTACAGAAAAGAGTGGTAATAAGCATAGATGCCAACCTTTAAGTAATCTGCAAATGTAATTGTTGGTTCTCTCTCGAGATCACCGTCTTCGTTTGTTACCAGCTCAAGAGCTTCAGCGAACTTCTTATTACGAGCCATCTTCTTACATTCGTCGTCGCAAGACATGCTGTTAAGAAATCATGAACGGCATTGATATCTCACTTTTTCCGTTAATTATACATACTATATACTATTAAAATAATGCTGCTTGTGTAGAAATGGTAGCGGGACTTTTTGCATCTTATTTCCGAATTATCTTGCACAATTAATGACCAACACAGCAACACATGAACAAGCACCCCTAACGGAATTGGCCGCGGAATTTTGAAAACTACACCAAATTTTTTCTAATTTTAGCATAATAGTGGAAAACGAACACTGACCAGTTCAATTTCTCCATACTGGCTGATCTTCTCATCGCTCCTACACCACTAAATTCCAAATTTTCGTTTCCTTCAGTTGCTTCCGCCTCAATAGCTCGAAGGCGATTGACACGTTTTTCGAACTGAAGATGAAAAATCAAAAAGGCTCGGTTCCATGCAATAATTTCATCTCAGCTCCTCACGTCTGAACATTTCATCCGAGATTTGCGTTTGCCACATTCGCAAGTGACATTGACAAGATACTGGCAATCCGATTCCGGGCAAACGCTTGAGCCATGGCAGGGTAGCGCACACGGATGCTCACATAGACGACGTAGAACCATGCACGGTCGAGTGCATTTTTCACCATTCTGTTGTTCATACAGTGTATTTAATAGCCACTGATAAGAACTCAGCATTACAACAAGTTCAATTTGTAGAACATAAAAAGTTGGTTGGAATTCTTAATATTAAAGCACTCATTTCACAATGAGAGATTCAAATTTGAGCAAAGGCTTCAGTTACGAACAAAATGGCTAAAACCCACCTTAACACAATCGCCTGAATGGCAGTTCCTGCTACAATAATGAGCACCACACGATAGTGGTTTCCCACAAGGGCGCCCACAGGAGACGGCATCAATGTGGCAGGGAACATTTCTACGAATCTTAAATATACACTAACATTAAATGTTCAGCAAATAAGTAAACTTCTTCTACCGCACGATCAATTATCGATCCATCAAAGCATTTGTTGTCACCTCGTGATTTCCATAACACATCTTTTCCACAAGTACAGTGCACGGCGGACAATGTTCTTCACCATGACATCGATGCGTAACAGGATGACTGCATCGATGAGGACGTGCACACAGCTCACTACATTCTGGCAGCGATGATCCACAAGGTACTGGTGGAAGTCGCACTGTACGACCACAATGACAAAACTGCTCCTCGAAGCCTTTAACTGGGAAGCATTCCATTCAATGTGATTTTGAGCAACAACTATCTCACAACAGATACTCAGACTAAAAATATTACTGTTTACTCATTGATAAGTTACTGCATACTTGGATACTTGTATGGGCAATTTTCAACGGCTGTGCGAGTCCCAGCAAAACTTCACTTACCACGGAGTTTTGCTTTTTTAATCGATTTTGTTCTCTGGAGTTGCGAGGTTAGCATAGCCAAAGTTTGTCCCAAGTCGCCACCACCACAAGCTGTCGCCACTTTTGTGGATCAGAGATAGATTTGCCACCATGCGACTAGTTTGACACAAGGACGGTGGTGGATCCAGGTATTGCTTTTTGTTTACTCTTAGCTGGGCTTCCTGATGGAAAGATCGGAATTCTTAGCTTGGGAGGTCCTGCTGGAGGAACGTGGTGATGAATCCCCACACCAGGCCGTAGCGCAACACCCAGAAACAGCTCTCAGCCACGATGAAGTGGTAAACCGCTGGGAGGTGTTAAGGCATTTGCAGAAAGAATTCACTAACAAAAAAAAGTTGTCATACTTGAGTTCAAACATTTTGGACACTGGCCGGCGTGACAAATACTCTCACAGAAGTGCAAACCGCATGACAGACGCTTGTTGCATACCTAATATAAAGTCAGCTTGTTTAGTATTCAACTGGATCTTCCGAAATGGAGTTGAAACGAATACAAAGTCAGCATAATCGTCACAAAGAGATATTTTAACAGAAAGTGAACAAAGTGAGTTAAAATTCAATTGATACTTGAGAAAAGAGTGGACGATAGAGATGTATTCTAGCTCGTAACATGACAAAAATAACCGCCTGAGTTTCAAATAAGGATAAAAATAAAAAAATAAATAAGGACAACAGAAGAACCAAAACCAGTTGTCGTCCTGTATTTGTTGAAACGCAGAAGAACGCAGCCAGAAAATACACAACAAATAAAGTTGGATGAAAAACAACATATGTAAGTACCTGTAAGCAAAAGTGTTCTGTTTGCACGCAGCACAATTCCTGACACTTGTGTATCCCACATGACTTTCGCTTTTTGCAACGTTTTGCGCATAAAAACTCGTTTTCACCTGAACAGAGATTTAAGCCTCGGTTAAAAGCTTAGAAACATAACCCTGAGTAAGACAGATGGATAGAAAAATCAATTAAATCTGTTCACAGTTGAATTGCAGGTACTCCAAACAGGTCAGCGTACGTTTCACTTGCTTGCATCGACAAACAATGCTAGTGTTCAATTCACAAGGAGGACACTCTCCAACATGACACACTGAGCGACAACGATGCTTTTCCTCTAAAGAAAGTGAAGCAGTCAAACTGAGTTTTGAGACGGAACATTATGGAAATATTGAAACTAACCATCAGCACCGCACTTCAAAACCTTTCTGCATAAATTTTTGCACGTTGGAATAGGGTCTAAACAAGATGTCCGTTCTAATCCAAGTTCTTTCAGAGTGCACCGGCCACACGGGCAATGGGTGATTCGTTCAGGAGAATACGGACAAGAACCGCAACCAGATTCATCAGCTAGATGACAACTGTAACATGCAACAACTCGGAGATATTATACAAAATCGAAAATTTTGGTGATTCCCACAAAAATTCAAACAACTAACTTTCTTGTGCAAGGGTGAACACCGCATGTGTAAATTCCCATGCACGGAGAACCACATGAGTACTTCTCGGAGCATTTCTCCCAACATAAAATCTTACGAGATGATGACCCACAGAAGCAGTCTGAAACGCCGCGTGGGTGATATCTCTAGTTGTCCAAAATAACAAAAAAGAAAGGAAGACAGACGTACTTTGCTGTGTCATTACCTTACACGGACCGCATTCACCTTCATGGCATACACGCGCACAACGATGAATACCGCATTCAAGCAATAGATTGCAGACCTTATCGCACTTAAATTGAAAGAAACTCTACGTATATGTGGGCGGCGTGATTTACACTGAGAACGAAAGAATAAACGTGCAACGGTATAGTAGAAGCGGTAAAAGATAACAAAAACGAACTTTGGTTTCAATGTCGGAGCCACATCGAACTGCTATCTCAACGTTACCACAGTTACAAGCGCGTGTTAGCATGACTGGACATTCTGGACACGGTCCAGGATGACACGCTTCATTGCACGGATGAGGGCAAGTTGCTGAACGCTTACCACCACAGGTATTTCCACAAGAGTGCGGTATCTCACTACTAGAAACAGTGATTTTATCTTAATTACAAGGAATTTCTACAACAGAGAACGAAAATCTCAACAGCACTCACACATGTGCAGTGGGATTACGCTGTTTTCCACAAAAGCAAAAGTAGTTGTAAGGAATAGTATCGTACTTTGTTTGACATGTAGGACATCGCCATCTGAACAGGATAAAGCGGATTTTAGTGCAGAACAAAAATAGTCTGTAGGCCAAAATAAAACGATACAATAGGAAAACGATAAAGTTCTTTGCATTGATCTATGCCTGAGGGTGAGCCATAAATTCGACTTTATTAAGTACCGGTGGAGGGCACTGCAATGCATATCTGCCCTCTACAATGGCTCGCGGTGACCTATCGATGTATGGAGCCAGTGCTGCTATCCTCTTAGACAAGTCCGGTACCACTTTGACGAACTCGGAGATAGTGAAGGCATGATGAGCCTGAGGCGCAAGAATGAACTCGTGTGTTTTGCAGGACACCTCTAACCAACATGCTACAAGCGCTCTAACGATGCAGTAATTCACTGAAATAATGGCAACAAAGGGGACTGAAGGGTAGCTTCTTGTTGTGTGAATAAGCTGACAGGAGCCTGTTACTTTTTTTAAAGATTGTTGCTAACATTACAGCGAGTCCAACAGAATGAAGTACCTTACGAAATCGACTCAATGCCGCTAGGAAGTTCCACACATAAAGAACGAAGAGTCGGATTAAATCATTGCGCCTCCGAAGAAGGAGAAGGTGCCAAAACGCTAGCCACAGTAAGAAGAATTATGAAACAACCTCGGCTCAGCTTATCACCAGGGCAACTAGTGCAAATATGGCTCAGGTTAAGTAAAAGTCGATTTTCAAAACTATATACTTGCTTAGTGGTAGTATAGTTCAAAAGATTTCGGTGAAGAGACGAGTTTCTTCCACATTCGTCTTCGGTGCACTCTGATATAACATATGGAAGCTCAACGACTTTGTTGCATCCAAGACTGGACGTTCAGTGTTAACTTCGTGAAATCATTTAAACGATGTCAGCGTTTCAACCTGGAATAACAGTCTCACACTCAAGTATACCTCGACAATCGTTACATGGACCCGATAATTGTAGGAAAAACTTTGTTCGGTATGGGTAGGAATGGTACCTGTGTTATTACTTACTACATGTTACTGTGGTCCATTATAGAAATACCCGTTAACATTTGAAAGTGTTCTGCGAATTATGCTATTAAGAATGTGTCTTCTTCCATACTTTTTATATCCAAGCATTCTATCGTCTAAATATAATTCATTGCAGTGATTAGAGCTGATATAACCGCCTCTTGAGTTACTAGTCAATGAAGCCGTTCGAAAAGTCTCTTGCGAAAACGAAAAGTGAAGAAAATCGCTTTTCCAAGCGAATCCCAGCAAAACATGCGTATTGAACAAACTATCGATCGATTTGAAGAACTATAGGGAAAGGACCTTGCGCGCCAAAATAAACTCAGGACTCATATAGGCCACTCGGGACGTCGCGCATGAATGTATAGAATGGAGGCCGCTCGTTATGTATTAAGTACCTACCACATTTGTAGTCAATAACTGTACATACTCTAAAAAAAATGTCAAAAAAGATTGGCTCTGCGCAGTGCGAAACAGTAAAACGCAAATTTGGCTCCTGATTCTGGAATTTTTGTATTGGTATTAAACAAGTAACTACCTCTATTGAACAGAAGCCCTTGAAAGGTGAGAACGTTCACAGTATAACTTTGGACGATATCTACACCACTAACGCATTCGCTACAGTGTGAATTGGATTCAATGATTATGGGACGAAAAACATGCGCCTTCAGCATTAGTCAAAACTATTTCAGTTCATAACGACTATACATAAAATATGGTAAATAATGGGGTGCGTGTGGGGCAGTGGTTGGAGGCGCTCCGCAATACACATAGGATCGATCTCCGCGCCTAAGGCTAACCAAGCCTTCCATCCCTCCGAGCTCGGTAAATTGGTTGTGAGTTATCTGGGTGGAAAGCAGCACTCGTTCGATAAATCGGTAGGCCACCGTAAAGGCCCGATATGCATTCAGTCACATCCAACGATGTTTAATGATGTCAAATGAATAGCGCATTCCTGAAGGACCGATCAACACCGAGAGCTTTATTCCTTATCCTTTATGGTAAATAATATATGGATGTAGTAACTAGTATATAAATATACCGATCAGGGGAATCTATAGATCTTTCTGAAAAGACTCTTTCATATTCTATCGAGATAATAATTTGATTTTTTTGACCTAATACAACACATTTCCTCTCGTAGAAGCTCGCACTTCAAAAACTGAGCGAATAAACATGTGGGAAAACGTCGGATGGTATAAGGTGACCTGCCCTAAGAAACAGTTAATATTTACGGTTGAGATACTCGAACTGAGTTTTAAAACCAAGAAAACTCCATTTGATCTTTAACGAAATCTGTTAGTCAAAAAACATAATCTGGAAACCAAGCACACCCTTAATACGATAGAATACACCCTTCCCTACCAGCCTATAATATTGTCATCTCTAGAGTTTCATTTAAGAAAAAGTTATCGGCAATTGTCAAATACCTAACACGGTCGCTAACAGTAGTGCTTGTATGAAGTACTTTAACAGACCCGTCATCGTCTAAGGCATTAAATCTCTTCCTTGCTGCAGTAATCCTTGAACTTGTAATATTTGGAAAGGAATAAACACAACTCTCTTTACACTTTTCCAACATGAATCCCACAATCTTTGTTATAAGGCTAACCCTAACATAATTTAAAATTTTGGTCATATAAAATACTTTACTATCCTAAATATCAATGCAGAAAATGGACTAAATCCTCGCAACGGTTTGCCGCCTCGCTGCGGCTGCGAGGTATTCATAGGGTGTTGCGCTGCGATGTACGACGGGTGAATCATCCCTCCAGCACGGTCTCCTAAGCCGAAAAGGAGCTCGGCGTTTCCATTCCGAAGCCCAGGTAAGAGTAAACCAATACCAAGACCCACCACCGTCCTGATATCAAATTAGTCACATAGTAGGAAATCTCCCTATGATCCACAAGGATGGCGACTACCTGTGGTGATGACGACCTGATGCAGACTTTGGCCTGGCGGACCTCAGGACACTAGGAAACCACAGAGATTAAACCAACAAAACTCCGAAAAAATAGAAATTATGCTAGGGCCGCACAACCAGTGAAGACGAGCCACCCAAATATCCAAGTAAGTAAATGGATAAACAAGGTTTTCAAGCATAAAGCACTCCATAACTTGAGCAATACAAAATACTCAAGGTCAAACTGTGTTCAACTGTCTCTACACTTGAAGTAATTTAGAATGACATTAATCATTGTTTATGAATGCAGTAGTTATTAAAATAAGTTGTTAAAAAGGAATTCCATTTAAGAGTGAAAGACGTAATGAAGAAAAATCGTTTGCAAATGTCTTAATCACCTATTATCATCCTCCTTGCTTTTTTTAGCCCAATTAATTATGCAACCACCGGAAATGTGGAACATTTGAAAACATATCCCACAAGACCAAATCGCCTGAAATTTGGACAGAAGCAGATTATAACACGATTACATCAAAACTAGATAGAGTAGACAGAAGATAGCTAACAGAAAGGCGAAACGAAGGACCCCCATTGTGGTGGTGAAACCGTTAGCCCCTGGAAAGGGTAATATCATGTTCGGTCTCCACCGCAGACACCAGTGGTCCCGAGTTTTCGGAAATATCTCAGTATAACTGTAGTTACATCAAAACTATTTTATACCTCTTTAGGCAGGATAACTTGACAACAGATCGCACATTCATAGCATCGATCCTCCAGCTGCTGAATCAATCGCCCTGTAATCTGCTAATATACGGAAAAGTTTTTTTAAAAATAGAGCATATTAAGAATTCTCACCTCTCATCGACTCATCCTGAGCATCGAAATTTTTCTTTACCCTTCTCTGGTGTAAGTGAAATGGTCTCCTACTGTTCTGATGACATGAAGTCGCCTCCTTTGATCCACTTATCCCCTCTTGATTACAACAGTTCCCCCGCTCTTCATGATTATAGGTCTTATTATGTATTCGTGTAAACTGTTTACTTCCCCGATATTTTTGATTTCCTTCGAGAAATCGTGAATCAGAAATTCTTGTGCAGCTTCCGTTGTAGTGAATACTGGTTGGTTGTTCTCTAACCAACAAAGATTGCGGAGTAAATGATGGAGCAAAGGGATTGAAAGTGTGTTCACTTCTCGGACAGTTGTTGCTTCCTAAATCCTGAATACTATGACAAACCACCAATAGAGTAGTAGAAAACTATACTGATAAATCATGTGTTAGATATGCTATGTAAGTGGCTTAACCCACCTCGAATGTGATGCGTGGAGAAGCCGCGATTACCTCCCTGTCGGGAAGATTGGGTCACTTGAGACTGTTGAGTAACACCTTCAATAACCTGATTGAATAAAGCGAAATTTACAGGATAAGATTGGAATGAGAAACAAACAGGAGTCTAAAGCAAAGCTCTGGATGATAAAGTGCTTACCATCAATCCAAGCCAAACTTCCAGAATGAGATGCACTGTTAGTTTCCTCAATAGGTCGTCCTCTACGGCTAAACTGATAAAATGAGGAGAAGCAACAAGAAAATATGAAAAGCCTATGCCATCGACGACTGAAGACGAATTCGTTTTTAAGAGAAGATGAGAACTCCACTTTTAATCAAAACACTAACTTGATTTGTGATGAACCGTCGTTACCGTAATGGCGGGTGCCTTCGGTATCGGCAGAATGGCCATTTCTCCTTCGGTTTGATGATGAAGCACTATCATCGTTCGCCGAATTCGGATTGGCACAGGTATAACGCCCAGCCCCTCTACCTCTTCTGCCTCGGCAATGTCCGGGATAGGCCTTCCTTGAATGTGCTGGAGTGTCCGTGAGGGATGTCACGCCATCGCCCATAGTGAACTAAACCTTGGAATATGTGGCTTCCATTGGATAATTTCAGTAAAACGACAGTCGCAAACAAAAAAGATGAGGTGCAGAGAAGAAAAAATAAGGCAACACAGTATTTATAGTGGACATTCTATATGGTAAAACATCCTAACGGTTTACCACCTCATCGTGGCTGAGAGATGTTCCTGGGTGTCAAACTGCGATGTACAGCGGGGGATTCGTCCCCCCGGCAGGGTCTCCCAAGATGAGTCCGGCGTTTCCAACAGGAAGCCTGTTAAGAATAAACGAACACCAGGATCCACCACCGTCCTGGTATCAAACTAATCGCATGGTGGCAAATCTGTGATCCACAAGGGCGGCGACTTCCTGTGGTTGTGACGACTTGGGGAAAGCCTCGGCTAGGCCTTGGGACTTTGGGAACCACAAAGTGGTTTCAACGAATTACACATCGTTGTGCAATGAAGCTATTCAAGGGCGTAGAGTACATTTCCAGTGCTGGTCCTATCACGCTTCCCCAGCAGCGGACAGTGTCCTTTAAACTATGCCTAAATTCTTTGTTGCGCACTACATTGTTTCTCCTGGCTTCGTCAAATGTTTGTTCCAAATAGTATTTCTCAAGTATTCGTAGTCTTGATATTGTTAGAGAGTATGCTAGTTGACAACAGCAATCTTACCTCATTCCTCTGCGAAACCCTGAGTTGAGTCCTTGCGCGCCCTTCATATCCTTGAGATGGGGATAGAGTTGCCGTTTTCCAGAAATATCGATATTGATGGGGCAGAGAGAGTTATTGTGGATCTGTTTTCATGAAAATTTAATGGAGAATCTGCTTTAGCGTTTATATTGATGCAGTGTCTATAAACTTTTGGATGGGAAGACTGTAGGAGCGAAATTTGTGGTAGTTGTGACCTTAGTTACTATGTTAGATGATGGTAGGTCCTTCTTTAACATTCCCCAACTGGCTGAAACTTTCCTTCTCTGTTTCTACTGGCTACTCAGTGTGTTAGAAGTGTACGTACGTGATTACAGTTCCGACCTGGTATAAGTTGCTCATTTCCACTCGCTCCGAAGCTTTTTCAAGATTTCGTTCGGATTTGTACTAACATTTTTAGGTAGCTCTAAGTAGCGTCTGCAGCGAACATGGGGCGAATGCACAATCCTGGTAAAGGCATGTCGAAATCGGCGTTGCCATATCGCCGTTCAGTGCCATCGTGGCTGAAGCTTACTAGCTCAGACGTACAGGAACAGATAGTGAAACTTGCGAAGAAGGTATGTTGAATAGCTTAGAACTCATGGTTCGATTTTATCAGTTCCTGAGTGCTGTATTTTCTTATTTGTGTGTACTCTCTGCTGTCTGAAGGAATCGCTAGTAGTCGAATAGGTTTGCGACAAGCCCTACTTTGTACTGTTGACTTCGATGTTTCAGGGTCTTCGTCCCTCACAGATCGGTGTTATTCTTAGGGATTCTCACGGAGTCGCTCAAGTGCGCCGTGTCACAGGAAACAAAATCTTCAGAATTCTTAAAGCTAAGGTTTGTTCATGTATGCGTGAAGTTTAGAATGCATTGTGTCATCGTTCTACAGATTCGAATTTACATTGCTTGAGATTCCTATGATTCATGAGAAGATTGTTAAGAGATTCTCGTTTCCGTACACATCGTAGTGGGATGGATACAGACGATTTCTTTTTTATATCACAATTGAAGCAATGGAAAGTCTTGTTTAGGGCATGGCACCTGAGATTCCCGAGGATCTCTACCACCTTATTAAGAAAGCTGTTTCGATCCGAAAGCATCTCGAGCATTCCCGCAAGGACATTGACAGCAAGTACAGGCTTATTCTTGTAGAGTCACGGATTCATCGTCTCGCTCGTTATTACAAAACCACCCGTCAGTTACCGGCTACGTGGAAATACGAGTCTGCGACTGCTGCTTCTCTCATTTCATAAGATTGTTTTGATGTTCGTTATAAACTTTTGTTATTTGTAGAAGTGTCAGTTGATTAGTCTAGAATTAAGAAGCTATGCTTTAAAAAGGAACTCGTTCTTTTTATACGGAAACCAATCAGAGGCCAACTTCCTTTGCCACTTACAATGTCGTTGCAAAAAGTTGAAAGTAGTTGGTTATCAGCGTTATTTATCAATATTTGTCTTGGCTTCATGCCATGATAGTTTTTGAGTTGCATAATTTGCCGACAGATTCCTTTGTCCAACTGTCATCCTAGAATTACAGTACTCGCAACAGAGTGCTAGCGGTTGAGCTAACAGTGGAATTTACTTTAGGAACGTGAGCACTTTTATTTCAACTCCTCTTCAGTGCTTTGAGAATTGCCACGATTTCAACTAACTTATTAGAGCCGATATAAGACGTAAATTGAATGCACAATTACGTGGCAGTGTTTAAACCATTTCTTTTTGCTTTCGTAAATGTTTTCATGCCTCGACTCACAACATGGTAAAGCGTGCATTCATTTTGCTCGTATGAAAGAGATGGTATACATTGCTAGTCGACGTCTACAGCCAAAGATCAGCTATGTTGTTACATAAGCAAAGATATGAAGGAACCGATGTACAAATTGGTGGGACCTAGTCCATTTGTGACGATGAGCACAGGTGAGCGTCGTGCTCGGTTCGCTGTGCTCCCAATTCAGTTTGTTTTCGGCTATTTCTTCTGCTGCATAGAGCGTTGTATGTCGTTCTTCTTGACAATTTTTGTACTTAGTCGGGAGCTTGACATTCCTAGATGTCATACAAGAGAACTTAGGAAAGGCTAATAATGTGTAATGCTTCTCGAAGGAACTTTTCGTAGTTAACACACCCAAATCCGAAACTAAGGGAGACTGCGATCATTACACGGTGACACATCACTGGGGGATTTATTTAGATATTTTGCTTCTACCATATTAAACCTAATTGTGGAATAGATGTAGACGAGAAAATTACCACAATGAAAACAGATGTTCTTAGGTTGCGCACTCACGAAATTATTTCTAAACAATGTTTCTTTGAAAAGACTACATTTACAATGCATGTTTTCACTGTGTGGTGAAGTATTTTACGATGGACTTGGCTTATATCATTCTCGAGGTTCTGGTCAACTAAAGCATAGGTCATAGGAATCTCTGCTGTTTAGTATTAATCCGGATTACGAGAAGCTCCCTGTCCAGTTGGTACGAGCCAACATGTACCTTTAGTAAGTACCTAGGAACGCCTTAGTACGGCTATCTTAGCATTCCAAGGTCTTACGCTGATTAAGTGTTCACCATATCAATGAGAGAAGTACACCACTTAAGTTGTGTCCGACCATATATAGGAACCGAACAGCTACGTGGACGATGGTTTCCGGACAACGAAATGAATGAGTGAACTGCTGGGACATGTAAAGATGGTTCATCTAAGTGTCTAAGTTCCTGGTAAATAGTCCCTGTCGTACAATGCAGTTTTGTACTGAGAAGTGGCTCTGAGGCAGTAAATTATAGAACAGCGTTGTAAATTATCTAAAAATAACTAAAATGACGCTGAGATATTAGCAAAACTTGGACCACAAGCCAGATCGAATCGCGATTACCCTTTCAGGGACTCACGCGTTACACATGGCACCCGTGAGGCCCTTGTTCTGTCCTCTCAGCTAGTCTTTTTACCCTAAGGGTGCCATCAGCATAAAAAAATAATATGCAGTAGATAGAAGTTATACATTATAACATTGTATTCTGATGAAATCATGTTCTACCATTCAGCTGTTCTAAATGCGACCAGCAATGAGGAACAGGAGGAGAAAAAGCGGTCTGTGCGGTCCAGAAAAAGAGATTTTGTAGCGGTAGTACGAAAGATTCCATTTGGCTTGCTAAACTGTTAAGGATGTCGGTCAGACGGTTTGTCGTCCAAGGATCACTATCGTCTAGGAGAAACCCGAGTGGCACGGCAATGCTAACCTTTCTCTACCACTGGTAACCTAAAACGCTCTGCCCAGCTGTCTCAGGCTTCCACGAAAAATAACGACCAGCATTTAAGATGTTAATGAGGAGGGAAGTCCATAGATCGCAAAGTTCCAGCCGAATACACGCGTTAACCCAACTAATTTTATGGATTACGGTTGCAAAGACTACAACGAAACTAATGCGAGAAGATCCAAACTACATTCTAAGTACATATTATTAAGTAAGTAAAAAAGGGTCTGGGCCTTGATTAATCCTTGAGGGATGCGCCATGCACACGACTTCACTAAGCACCGTTTGGAGGTGATTGAATATCTGGCCTTTACAATGACTCGCGGTGGCCTACCGATGTAACGAGTCAGTGGTGTTATTCTCCCAGAAGTCTGGTACCAATTCAACGAACCCGGAGGGTTGGAGGGTTTGGTCTGCCGAGAGTGGAGGTATCGACCTTCGATCACGTGTGCTTTGCAGGGCGCCCCCGACCACCGTGCTGCACTCGCGCTTCGGTAAAGCAACAAATGCAAAAAATTCTCCAAGATCAAAAGTACGAAAGAGAGAGCAGGTACCAATATACGTTTTCGGATGGCAACTACAGTTTACATTCAGAAGATCTACAGAATACAGTTTTCACTATTTTGCTGCTATAGCGGCAGGGAGCAGATCAAAACATACCACAATCGAGATCAAGTGTAATCGGAACGAATGGGGTGGACTTGTCGCGTATGGACTTCGGTTGGCCCTCTTGTCACGTTCTTAACACGTTTCATCATCGTAGCTGATGAACGATGCCATTTCGAAGCCGACATCTGTCTACTTTACTCTTTTGTTCAATCATACTGTAAAGAAAATCCATAATTACATCTTATATCTATGGAGTTCTTTAGCCAGCACAGTTTTCCATTCTCATGGTTTTTTTTCTAGCTGTTTGCAATCCATCGAGTCGATATCATCTCAGTCGATATCAGCTGCAGACTGAAGCATTGGTATATGAATTGTATTCACATAAGTGTATCTCATCCACCGGAAATTAAGACGTTGAAGGTGGATGAAACTCGTCCACGTGATAAAAAACCTTAAAGGAAATATTTTTGTCCATCGATAGGTATTAACACGTAGTTATGAAAATCCTCAAGCAGCAACCGAAGCCACGCGCGATGTTGGAAGATCTTCGTGGACAATGGATGCGAGGAAGCGAATCGAATATGAGAAGTGCTGGGATCTCCACAGTAGACTTGAATGTGGATCAAATAATATAAAAAGAAATTAAAGAAAATATTTAAAGTAGTGCTTGATCTAGCAGTCCAATTTGTGTATTTCTTGTGGATGGCCTTTGAAAATCCTCCTAATCAATCTACATGGATTTCCCCACTGTATGAAAGAAGCAGGTTTTCGAATCCAACCTTGTTTGCTGGACACTGCTTGTGGTTTTTTTTCCTAATTTTTAGAGTTGCTCAAGTTCCAGGGGACGCTGTGAGTTTCGCCTTCCTCATTCCTTGTAAGGAAGGCAAACGATGATCCTGCTGATGATAAAGTATGTGTGGTCGAAGAAGTCGAGTAGTGAGTTTTTCTCTCGATCGTCTTCATACATTCCAATTAAAAGAGGGAAATAAATTTCACGCAATAATTTCGAGAACTGAGATCGGCATTGGACGTTTCTATTTCGTCGGGACCTATTATTGAGCCACTTTCAACAAATGTTGACAATATTAGGAGTAGTAAGTACTAATGTTACTAGGGCAGAGCATTAAAAATATTGGCAATGGAGTTGGAAAAAAATGTGAAAAGTGTTGGAATGAAAGAATTTTTCAGCACGGTTGGCACGTCTTCATCCGATGCGGTGGCCTCATGGGAGAACAAGTATAGGTGCACAAAATGCATCAATGAATTCTTAACAGCAACTGCACTGAAAGTTCACGAGAGTACAGCTCATAACGAAGATACTCGTGGCATAGACAAAAACGAGAGAGTGTGCATCCCGACTGAGGTCAGTTCTTGCAAGTTTTCTTAACGTCTTCCGGGTACCACTCAAAGGCTTCTTTTTCGTATGGCGTGGTTGTCACGCTGTGTTTGAGAAAGAACAGCAATTGGAACCGCACCGGTTGAGCAACTGTCTGGAAAAACAGTCCGTAATGATTATTTATATGATCTTACAAACTGATCTTCTTAAACTGACGCGAGATTGTTACATGTCTTCGTTGTCGTTGTTTTTGATGTTGTTGGTCGATGGCTGATGTTTGGGCGATTTCGCCTTCCTCAGAGCCTGGACGTATTTTATACAAGAATACTTTAATTATTCGGTGGAAAAAAAGGCTAAAGTATCAATGAACTTTTAGACAGATGGCGGCTTAGAATGCTACGGTGAAATGTAGTTCTACACCATATTGAACAGAAAGGCTACTCACTGTAATGTTACGAGTGGGACTGCTCGACGTGTTGTTCATGTGGGGTCACGAGGAAGACATGCCGCGGTGTCAAAATATCGTTTTGAAATAGCGCGACAGGTCACGTGTGATAGTGAGGCAATCGTCTTTCCTGTTCATCTTTGGGTTTTGAAATTTATCCAAAACGCCTCAAGAGTTTTGCGCGTTGATGTTTTCGATTCCTGCCCTAAGATCCGCACAGTCACTTTAAAATCATCGCCATTGTGCTTTTGTGTCCGTGTACCTAGAGGAGTGCTTTGACGAATCTTAACTTTCCCGTCCAGGTGTTTTTTTATGAGTACATAAAGCGGTCTACCCGTTTCCCGAATGTGTTCCTCACCGTGTGCCTTATAAGTGATCAAGTGTATTATACCTGAACTCATGCAATTTCTGTCTCTTCCGTTAGGACAGATCACACAGTTTTCTGACCTTCACAAACGACCATAGAAACGGTTGCGAACTAACTGACCGCGTAGGGTATTGGGTGGGATGTCAATAATCGGCGCAATGATGTATGTCCGGAAGAAATATAAGTTGTTACCACCGGACATTATCATTACATCCACCATCAGCATCGTGTATAAAAGGGCATCAC